TACCACCAATTCCTCCCCTGGCGGCCGCCGGCGCACACAATCACGAACCTGTCGAACCACCTCGCACAGCAGATCGGGCGGGGGGGAGAGGAATTCTGAAAAAACAAAAAGGGAAATCCACTCAGGTTAGAAAAGAGGGGGTGCAGGTGCGTGGATCGCATAGACTTCCCCTCCCCCCCCCTCGGTGTATTGCTTCCATCGCAGTTGTATCAGTCTAGGTAGGGTTCGAACGACAGAAAGGGGTAAAAGCTGGGCACCTTTTCACAACCGAGCTCCTCACGCGATGTTGGTGTATTGGGCTATATTAAGTAGTGCTTTAATTTGAAAAACATGAATAGAGATAAATTATACAGGTATGAATTTACGCTTTGATGGGAAAACTTCTTGGCGTACTGTTACGTGTCCTTCAACACGCACAGCAATAGGATTGCTTTTCACAGGGTTCATTTAAATGGGGCTTTTGCTTCTCATCGTCGTCTTTTTTTTGCACACTAAACTATATTCAAGAAGTAGGTCCAAAGAGTGGTAACTTGTAGACGAAAATACCAATTGTGATAAATATACATATATATATATATATATTTATATAGTCACTTTATACTTTACACACATAGTGTATTTTGCTTTACCACATCAACGACAATATTTCAGCTGAAGCTTACGTTTGCCAATAGTATTAGGCTGTTTTAATTTCGTCCTACATTTTTCACGTCTCCAGAACCGTTCTTTTTATCATCGCCCCTTTTTACAATACAGAAGTTTCTAAACTTTTTCAAGGGACAATCCCAAGTTTGGCTATCAGCCCTTATCCTTTTTATTCCCTAGTCAAAAGTTTGAAAACACGATCCCCCCCCCCCCCCCCACCACCACACACACAAAAAAAAAAGAAAAAAAAGTAAACACACGACCCCATTGCAAACGCATGACCTACTTTGCCAAAACCACCGAAAGCGCGGAGCCCGGGGTAAAGTCGGGAGGGAGTCTAGGGAGCCACTCTGGCGAGTTGGGGTGGTTAAACAAAAAACTCGCCCTCCCTCGGGCGCTGCCGAGGCCAGTGTCGAACCCCCGCGGGGGCCTCAAATCCGGCGGCCCCGCCACGCCCTACACCTACCGCTTTGTGAAGGTAGTCGGGAGCGGCAGTTTTGGCGTCGTCGTGCAGGCGAAAATCGAGGAAACGGGCGAGGACGTCGCCATTAAGCAGGTCCGCTACGACAGCCGCCTGCACAACCGCGAGTTGTACATTATGCGGGATGTCATCCAAGCCGGGGGGGAGGGCGGGGCCGGGGGGTCAACGCCCCTCTCGGCCGCTCCCAACCCCCAGGGGCGATCGCCTTCGCAGAGTTTGGAGCTTCTCCCCAACGCAAGCTCGCCGTTGTCCGTGACGACGCCGATGTCGGGATCGTTTTTTCTGCTTCGGCGCCACCCCAACATCGTTCAGCTCCGCACCTACTACCACTCCACGGACCCCGAAACGAACGAGCCGTACGTGAATTTGGTCATGAACTACCTCCCCACCGACTTCTTCGCGATGAAGGAGAAATACTTCAAATGTCTGCGGGAAAGCGCGGGGGCCAAAAAAGGCGGCGGCGCCCCGCGAAAAAAAGATCTCGCCATTTCAAATCCCACACCAACTGGAACCGTCGAGCCAGGGGAAGGGGACTCGAATTCCACTGGGGGGAATAGCAATAGTGGGAATGGTAATAATCATAGCAATAGTACGCTTTTCCCGTTGATGTGGACGAAACTCATCCTTTTTCAACTCGGCCGCGCCCTGGCTTTTCTCCACGGCAAGCATGTCTGCCATCGGGATATCAAACCTGCGAATATTCTGATCGATCCAGAAACGGGGCGGCTTCAGCTTTGTGATTTTGGAAGTGCGAAGCGGATGTCCCCTAAAAATATGGAAAAGAATGTTTCCTACATCTGCTCGCGGTATTACCGCGCGCCGGAGCTGCTTTTTGGGGTAATGCACTACGGCTGTGAGGTGGATATGTGGTCGGTAGGCTGCATCGCCGCGGAGCTCCTGCGGGAGGGGGGGCATCCCATTTTTAAGGGCATCACTACCGTGGATCAGATGGCGGAGATCTTTAAAGTCCTCGGGGCCCCTTCCATCAGTGAGATGTACGCGATGAATGCGCAAAGCGCCGCGGCGATGCTGCAAACTCACCGCCAATACGGCGGCAAAGGCTTCCCCCCGCCAACGATGCCGGGTGGGGGGGGCTCCTCGACCGCGGCGGCGACGAGTATCCCACTCCCGCCCGCCTCCTCGCGGGGGATCCCGAGCGAGGACGAGCGAAACCCCCGCGAGGACCGCGGCGATCTTTTTTCCACAGCCCCCTGCCTCGGCAGCGATTACTTCGAGCATTACGACGTCCTCAAGGTCAAGGCCCTCGCGTGGACGCACGTCCTACACCGCGAGGCCCCTCCGGAGGCGGTCAAACTCGTCTCCGAGCTCCTCCACTACGTCCCGAGCAAACGCCTGACGGCGGTGGAGTTCGTCGAGCATGCCCTTTTCGACAATTTATTTAGCCATGATCTCCCCCATTACCCTAACGACAAGGGTGAATCGCTGCGGGAAGGTGGCGGGGGGACGAGCCCGCCCTGGCGCCTTCCACGGATGGAAAACGGCAAAACCCTCCCGATTGAGATGTTTATGCTCACGGAGACCGAAACGCAGCTTTATTCGGAGGAATTTCAGCGAAAGATGAATCGTGAGGTCCAGCGAATTCACGCCGCCATGCAGGCCACCGGGACGGCGTCCTTTGCTGGTTCTCGTTAGCTCCCAAAAGAGGAAAAGGTGGCATTTATTCACAAAATCCACCATTATTACACCTTCGTATAGTTTAGTGAACATCATGTGACGAAGAGAAAGGAAAATCTATGGAAACGCAAAGAGGTGAGGTTTGCCTTTTGAAGGAATAAAACCTTTTAGTATTACAGGCAGGAGTGAAGTTTTTTTTTTGAGTTGCGAGTTTTTTGCTTGTTTATTATTGAATTATATACACATCAGCTTATTCTTTTTGACATATATTTTTCACAGCTGTATGGCATATCTTCATCATACCATCTCTTTACTTCATTAGTAATAGGTGTTATCTCCCTTTTTACCCCTTTGTGACAACTCACAAAATTTATTTGATCGTAAAATAAAGCGTAACTAAAATCACAGCGCAACGTTTCTGACCTTTTTTTACTTTTGCATAATGACTTCGGTGTGAAGGAAGATAATTGAGAAAAAAAAAGGTGACATACTTATTAAAACGTGTAGTGTTTATAATTACAATAAACAAGAAAGTAAAAGAAACAATAGAAAGAGATAATATGCCTTACACATTCTCCATTTGATTTCCATTCAGGCGTGAAAAAAGATCGATTTGAGCTTATCCTATGCCATTAATTTATTAATGCCATTTGCTTTTTTCCGCTTGTCAGCTCGCTTACTTCACTAATTAAATCCTCAATTTGTTAGACACTTCATTTTTTTTGCCGAAAAACGTGAAAAGTAAAGGTGAATGAAACGTGTAATGAATATGTGGGATCTGAGATTGGCCCTTTCACATGAGTGATGCTATTTTTACATGTAGGTCATAACTGTCTTATAGACAACAATGGGCGATTTATCAAAAAAAAACTTTAAAAAACTTCGTTATCTGAAAAAAGGTTCTTCTGTGTCTTGTGTGTCTTATTGAACCCTTTCCCAAATCCTTACGTTCACGTAAGAAGAAAATGCTTATTTATTATTATTTCACAGAAACTGTATTACTGAATATACAAAGTATCCAAAATATGGTTCACAACTTTTTTTTGTTAATGCAAAAGGGAGTGGAATAATCCTGTTCATGCAAGAGAACTCACGTGTACGAAATTTCGTATATTTATATTATTTTTATTGCCATTATTGGTTCACGCTAAATGTTTCTTTTTTTTACTAGAGTAATTTCTTATGTAATAACTGGCGAAAAAAGCTCAAATGGTAGATAAAACGTTCATCAGCTTCATGCTCCGATGACTATATAAATACGCGTTTAGTACTTGCAATAACACAGGTATCACTGCTGCTGAAATCTTTTCTTGAACTCTTCAATGGATTTGGATCCCTTAGTTATGGCTTAGAAATTTGTTTACTGGATATATGCGTGTTATCCTCAATTTATGACGCTCCTTTTTCTCTTTAGATGTAGATATGCTTGGATATAAGTGAATTCATATCGTTTTACATTAAATAGAACACTCAAAAATCAAGCATGGGAATAAAGGCTTCACCTTTAAACTACTCAACTCATTCCGGTGTAAACCGAAGGGAAATTTAATAGACATACCTGTCATACGAAAAAAAAAGATAAAGACAAATACATAGGGGGATTGTATTAAACCTGACTCGACTTCTTATCAGAAGCATGCTCTTGGTTTCCGAAGGAAATCACCGCAATCAAATGTGACCTAAACGCCGTTTTGTGAACACGTTCAATGGCCATCGCGCCTCTCCAGAAAGAAAATCCCTACAATATAACACGAAAACTGTATTGGCAAAAGAGCCACAAAAGGGGAAATGGTTTATCCCACCCCCACGATGATGCCTTTCGCCTGCTGCGACTCCAGCAAAAACAGCGTTTATTAACCTCCTTGCTGAGCGGGAGATGAAAAAAAGTGAAAACGACGAAGAACAGGAATATTTTTTTTTCAACATCATCTGCCGCGGCGAGTTTGGATCAAACGGACGACGGCACCTCCGCTCTACACAACTCACAGTACGAGCTGCACTCCGCCTCCAAACCTGACGCTGATCGACACTCCAGAAATCCTAGACTGCCCTTTCCTTTGATAAAAACGACAATACTAATAAAAATTCGCATGGATATGATTTTATCCCCGCTACGAGATGATTTATGCGGGACAGTGATGCTGCTTTGCTGCTTTTCGATCCCGCCAACTCATGCGGTGATATTATTAACGAAAGGCTTGACGTGCTCACAAAAAGCCTTGAGAGGCGGCAGCTGATTGGACTTAACAAAACCGATGAATCCACGCAGCGGTTGACTTTGCGTGTGCCTACGCCACTGTTTGCTGAAATCCCAGATGAGTGATGCCGTGAAAAAGAGACTCCGCGTATTTACGTCATCTCCACCCTGCGAAAGGGCTTGAAAAAAAGAGGAAACGAATAAAACTACCATTACTTCCATCATCCTGGAGAGAAAAAAACACGTGGGCTGTGGATGGAGGAAGTCTCTCTTTCCTCAGTCAACAGGTAAGTATCTGGAAGGAGAAAGGGGAAATCGAATGGGCACAGTTGAGTCTGACAGGGGCGGCGGTGGTACGTCTTTAGTGTGAGGGTGACTGTTACTGGTGTGGGATTTATGGCTACAGCTGGATCGAATACCGGTGGGATAATACCGACGGGGTTAGGGCTAATATCGACGCATGATGTGTAGATTGACACACAAGGAAGAGTGTGCGCCGGACTGTGAGGAGGTGTACCTTGGAAGGTTCAACAAAGAGATGCAAGAGGTCTTTAATTGAATGGTTAACGTTTTTTTTTTTTGAGAGAACATGACGGATACAGAAAAATACGCTTCTTATAGATACTTATTTTCCTTTATGTAGTTTATTTTCGTGTTGAATTTCTCTGAAAAGTCTTTATATTTGTTGATTGTCTTCTTACTCTTTTCTTTTTTTGGAAGTCTTCCCCAAGAAAAACTTGACTACG